GGCTAAAAACCGCAACCCACCCGAATTGTATGAATGTTGTGCTTTTAATGATGTACTGTCTTATGTGTTTAATGTTTGTCCTCCCTTCCTTCTGAATTGTGAGCCGCCCTGAGTCCCCCCAGGGAAAAGGGCGGCATATAAATAAACTACCTAAACCTAAACCTAAAAATGGGATGTCCCCCCCCCAGCCCCCAGCAGCACTCTATAAGCCTCCATAAGGCTATGCATGGAATTTTTTTTGACAAAAAATGGGCCCGTTTTTTGCTCGTTTCTCCCCCCCCCCCCGGAGCACTCTGCAAGGCTATTCATACTTTTTTTTTTTTTTGGAAAAAAAAAACCCAGGCCTGTTTTCATGAAAAACAGGCTGTTTTGGGGAGGTTTGTAGAGTGCAAAAACTTTTTTTTCCTTTCCAAAAGCTCTTTAACTGATTGATGAGACATTGATCAAGTGCTGTGCCAGCAGAAACACCTACCTATCTACTGTATCTCTCTATTTCTCTCTCTCTATCCCTCTATCTACCTACCACCTACCTACACACTCTCTCTTCCTACCTACCTATTGTATTTCTATATCTATCTATTTCTCTCTATCCCTCTACCTACCTATTCTCTCTCTCCCTACCTACCTACTGTATTTCTCTCTCTTTCCCTTTATCTACCTACCTAACTACTCTCTCTCCCTACCTATTTATTTCTCTCTCTATTTCTCTCTCTATATCCCTCTCCTACCTACCTACTCTCTCTCTCCCTACTTACTGTATTTCTATCTCTCTCCCTTTATCTACCTACCTACCTACCTACCTACCTACCTACCTACTCTCTCTCTCTACCTATCGACTATTTCTCTCTCTCTCTATTTCTCTCTATCCCTCTACCTACCGACACTCTCTATATTTCTCTCTCTCTCTCTGTATCCCTTTATCTACCTACCTACCTAACTACTCTCTCTCTCCCTACCTACCTATCTACCTATTTCTCTCTTTCTCTCCCTCTCTATCCCTCTACCTACCTACCTACCTACCTACTTTTTTTATTTGCCTCTTCAAAACCTTGGTGCGTCTTATACTCTGAAAAATATGGTAATCTTGGTCATAGATTTTGGTGGGATGTTAGCTTTAGCAAATTTATCAAATGTTGTTGATTTAAAAAGTTTTTTTCCTTGTTCCAACAACAAAATTGAGGAATCCAGGGAATTGTCAAAGAAATAGCGATGCACCAAAAGCCCTTAGTCACTTTTCAAATGTTGGATGAAGAAGCGTTGGATGAAGAAAAGCAATATTCTGGTCTTGCAACAAGTATTTGTATTTGTGGGCAATTAGAACAATAGACTTTACTTCAAAATCATAAATCCATTCCGAAACTGTAACATTTTGATCAGACAGATGCATAGTATATAAGAACAAGCAGAAAGAGAATGTTATCCAAACACAAAGTCATCAGAATTTAAAGCCGGAATAAAAAGGAAATCTTCACAGAAGAAACTGAGAAAAGGTTATCGCAATCACATTGTTCTAGCTGCACTAAATGAACCAAACTTATATTTGACCTTGATAGTCCTTGTCTGATCTAGTTTTCTCACAGATTAATCTTAAATTCCTCTGCAATTATGTCTTCAGTTGTTACCTTGTCTGTTATCTGGATGTCTGAGGGCTGAGTGAAGGAGACACTAAGTCAAAGTCATAGGAGCAAAGTACAATTGGTTGCTCCCTGCATTTCTTTGTTAGGCCATTACAACACCAGATTTACCTCTACCAAAGCTTCTCCCTGATCTTAGGAGGGTTGGTGAAACACATGACGAAACCGATTATACGCTCAGCATCTCCTACCACTTTTTGCCTCCAAAGGAAAATTCATAGGCAAAAAGAGGAATTATATTGGTGCTTACAAATGTTTATTATAAGTCCTCTCTCAATGCAAGAAAAGCAATAGCTGTGTCCTCCCAAGAATGCAAAATTTAGTACAGCACAATGATGTCTTCAGAGCCATAGAAAAAAAGTTAACAAAGAAACACATACAGGTAGCCATCACTCACAGATTGTAATTGGGATTGGGAACTCTTACTATGAAGCAATGTGATCACAAAGTGTCATGTGACTGTACTGACTTATGATAGCACTTCCAGCAGTTGCAGTTGCGGTCATTACACAAATCTCACATGGTCACAGCATCTCAGGATCACTTAATCATCATTTGCAACCTCCTGCTAGTTTTCCTTTGACTTTGCATATTGGCAGCTGCAGTTAAGGTTACAAATGCAATCATGTGCTGCAAGATATTGCAAAATCATAATTATGAGCCTACCAATGGAGCAGGTTGCAAGGCCTCTGAATCATGAACATGTGACCACACGGGCACTACCTATTGTGGCCCATCGGCTGCCAACAAAGCTAGCAGCAGAGTCAGATGAGGAGATGGGGGAGCCTGGGCCAGCTCTTTGAAAGGTTCTGATGAGGAAACAGAATCAGAGGCAGAGCCAGAGTCAGAGTCTCCTGGCCACTTCTTGGTGGATAGGCAGCTGTCTTTGGGGCCTGACCTGAATGGGGAGGAACAGATGTAGCCAGTGCTGAAATTCAATTTTTTTACTACTGGTTTGGTGGGTGTGGCATGGTATGATTGGCATGGCTTGGTAGGCATGGCAGGGGAAGGGTACTGCAAAATCTCCATCCCCACCCCACTCTCGGGCCAGTCAGAGGTGGCATTTGCCAGTTCTCTGAACTACCCAAAATTTCCACGACTGGTTCTCCAGAACCTGTCATAACTTGCTGGATTTTACCCCTGGATGTGGCCCATCCCAGATACGCATATGTGTAGAAAGGAGGGCAGAGCAATTGAAGGCAATAAGCCGGATTTCTTTGCCAGAATCAGGTTGGTTGGGTCTAATTGCTCTGTATTTGAGGTTCCAACTGAATCTCCCTGCTGGGAAATAACAGGGAGTGAATTTGCCTCAACTAGTATGAACAGGGACTGTTTCTGCTTGGTTTAATCATTGAAAGGATTTTCTATCTTGAGTTCTCATGTAAACAAAGACTATTCTTGCCCTATTTCAGAAGAGGAAAACACTTTCATTTGTGACTAATTACTTTTGGGGTTGTTTATGCAACATGACAAGATTGTTCCTTCCCTGTTTGAATAAAGAAATCTGGTTTACTCGTGAGTAAGTGGTTTCTTATTGCTTATGTGGGCTGGGTCAGAACACTACTCGGCTACAACTACCGTGTTTCCCCGAAACTATGACATGTCCTGATAATAAAACCATGCCATATTTTCCTGTGGGCAAAAATATACACCATCCCCCAATAATAAGCCCCCTGGACAATCCCCCCTGCAGCCAGGCAGAGCGCTACTCACCAATCTAGCGATATCCCAAAGGCGCCAAGCCACAGGAGTCAGGGGAGGGATTCAAAGCCGCTCACATTGCTTGCTGCCTTCGGGATACCACTAGGTTGGTGAGTGGCGCTGTGCCCAGCTGGACTGGGGGGTTGCCAGGCGGCTGCTCTCATGAGCAGCTGCCCGGCAACCCCCCTTTCCATCCAGGCAGAATGCTACTCATCGACTCAGTAATATCCCAAAGGCGCTAATCTGCATGGTGCCACCAGAGTCTTCCAACAGCCAGCCCACAACCATAGAACATAGTCCCAGAGCAGCCGCTGCCGGAAAACTCAGCAGTGGATCTCCGGAGTTTGGAGCCGGTTATGCAGGGAGAGTTGGGCCAAGGCATGGTGAGGCTGGGAAGCACGCAAGCTGGGGCAGAACAGGTGCTCGCGCAACCTCCCTTTCCAGCCGGGCAGAGCGCCACACGGCTTAGTGCCTTTGGGATATTACTGGGTCGGTGAGTGGCATTCTGTCCAGCTGGAAAGTGGGGTTGCCGGGCGGCTCCTCATGAGCGTAGTCACCTCATGGCTGCTGTGTTACGCTGCTGCAACACAGCCGTTTACCCCTGATACCCGCTCGCAAGAGAGCAGCCACCAGGCAACCCCAAACCAATAAGCCTCCCCCCCCCCAATAATTAGGCCCAAGCAACATTTGGAGGGTCAAAAGAAAATAAGATCCTGTCTTATTTTCGGGGAAACACAGTACAAGTACTGGGTGAACGTTAAGCAAGAACTACCTGTACAAGGGCTTGTAGCCTTTAACCAAAAATTGCTCATGCATGAAAAATGCCAGTGAAACCTTGTTTTAACGAATTGGGAACATGAATGAAGCAGCTGTGAGAATGAATATGCTATATATATTCATTGCAGAAATTGAAAAACTGAAGAGATTCAACAAGTGTTGCGTATCTATGCTATGAAGAAATGTTCCCATCAATAAATTCTATAAATTCCAGAAGATTGCATGTTGTTATGATGCATGTGAATCATGGAGACAATATGAAGAATCTAAGCATCTACCCCCATATAGAAAAGTTTTAAATTATGTTTTAATCCTTAAAATAAAGTAAAAACATTTTGAAAGCATGTCACCTCTTTAAACTATGAGAAGTTTGAACTGATGTAGAGCAAACAGAAAATAGTTTTTTTCAGCTACTATTAGCCAAATAGAATGTTTCTGCTGTCCTTTTTAGCACTCATTAAAACTCCATCATTAACAATTCCTAATCTAACATGTCAACAATTCAATTCCATTCCCTTTAATTGAAAATATTTTACTCTTTTGCTTCTATGACCAGAGACATATCATTAAAAACATGTTCTATAACATGTTCTTGATATTGCAATTTTCCAAAATACTTAAAACATGTGGTTGTTAAGATGGATTTGAAGTTCCATTTGAACTTTCATTAATTCATGAATACTTACACTTAAATTAATTTTAATCAATGGGTCTCTGTGCACATTATACAGAGCATAATATTAATTTTAATTAATCCTTTTATAATGAAAGCTACTTTTAACCCAATAATAAATTAGCATATAACCATAATATGTTCCATATTATGTTGCATAATATGGTCTATATCAAGATTCTTTATGTCTCAGGTAACCATGCATTGGCTACTAGGCATTTACATTTATTATGAGATGTATGTTATTAAAAGCATATACTATACATGACAAAGACTTATTATGAGATGCCTTTCCATTGCACATATGTTTTGAAGCACGACAAACTCACAATTTAATTCAATATTTTTATCCAATCTCTGATACTTTTCAAGTTACCATTACAGTATGACTGGATGGTTGGTATGAGGTAATTAAAATATAATTTGTTTTGACAACTTATAGAATAAATATCTGATGAAAATTCTTCCATACTGTAATTTTTCCAAATTACTGCAACAAAAAAACTAATTTAAAAAGTAGAATTATTTAAAATATACAATGGCAGCTATCTACTAATTTTTCACAGATAACAAAGGATGACATTCCATAACCATTTTTTCTCTTCTAAAATTCTGCACAATTGTGAGAGTGATAAAATGGTACAGAAGTTAGGATATTGAATTATGATTAGGATGTCCACATTCAAGTACATAGCCTCAGTAGGCGACTTTGAGCTGGTCACTATCTCTCAGCTTAATTGATCCTGTACCTTGATGATTGTGGGAGTGAAACAGAATAGACAGAATTGCTTTGAATCTTGCTGACGGGCTGTGCATGCCTCATTAGAAAAAGCTGTGGGTAAGGCAAAGTAGAAATCTGATTCCATTTAAATGTAACTCAGTTACATATAGCATTTAAAAACTTCCCCTCATTCTGTCATATTACAGATTTTAATTTGATAACAACTTTTGGAAATTTTTCAGGGCTGTGCCTCAGACTTTTGCTGGTTCTCTCTACTAGAGGAAAAGTAATAAAAATATTGAATAATATTACCTAGGAAGAGATAGTTGGACTCATATTTCCAAATAATGTTTTTTCTGACATACCAGTTTAAAGATATTTACTTGTGAATACTTGAACAAGGAAAATTTGTTTTATTTTTATTCAAAGCATGCGATTAGGTTATTACCAATTCTTAATAAACAATTCCTTGCTTCTGGCCTCTTTTTTGGCCTCGCTTTAAAAAAAATGGTGAGGCATTTCATTCTTCTTCTGAAATTGTTCACTGTTTGCTTAATGGCAAGGTTCACTATAAGTTGATCTTGAAAACAAAGTCCTAAATTTGACTTTCTTTGTATGAAATATATTCTATATTAATTATATATTCTGTTCTATCTCATTACAATTATATTATAGTCAAATCCATCACAAAAGCTCATCCCTAGCTGTAAATGTTTAGAATGTGATGTTCAATTGTATACATTCATTTATATACATACTTGGAAAAAATGTACTCTCTTTTAATTAGCATCTCTGACAGATACAAGTCCAGGCATTTATAGGCCAATCAGAAACTTGAAGTTTTGCTTATATGACTTATTTAGCATACACTTACCCCTTCCCTCTGCTGTTCTTTTGGGGTGAGCAACACAGTTAACAGTATAGTCCCAAGATCTTGGTCAGGATAATGTGAGTCCTTCAGACTCAATGTAACATCAATAGGCCTAGAAAAACAAGTCAATACAAAAATGAAAACACTAAAATTGATGCTCTAGACTGCCTACCCCAGGCCAAAGGGTTTAAGAAGTCATGAGTTATGTTTTCCTTTCTGTCACCTTCACTAAATAAACAATGAGGAATGTAAAGCAAGAACAAGGATTTATGTAAACTTATGGATAAAGCTCTTAATATATATCAAGGACTGTCTGACATCTTAAAATGACAGGAATACAATGTTCACCCTATCCTAGATAAAAAAAACTTTGGGTCTGTACAAACTTTTACTAAATACTTGAAAGTTTGGATATTTTTCCTTACCCAAACTTTCAATATTTAGTAAAATCAATGTAAATAGGTAGTTCTTGAGTTACAATGGCAACTAGTAACAGAATTTCTATCACTAAGTGATGTGGTCAAAATACGACATCATGCTTAACAATGCAATCCCAGCAATCCTTTTGCTGTCATTAATTGAATTCTACTGGTCATTAGCCAAGGACCCATCATGATCCAAGCCATTCCCAACTTGGTCCTTCTCAACTCCAAGTCTTGTTTGTTCCAAGTTAAGGGACTACCCTCCACTTCAACACCCCTGTTTCTTCTATTGCCTGTTTCTTCTATCTCACAAAGTGTTCAGACATATGTAGAAAGTATCTGGGGCCATTTGGATGAGAATATGGTGGACACTTACCACCACAAATATGGAGACCTCACTATAACTGATCATCTAAATTCAAACACTATACCCTTCCAGTCTGAAATGCTCCCAAAGTAGTTTTAAAGATGTAAAACTGAAAGAAAACTAGATGAGGAGGGAAAAGTAAGGCAAGAGTTCCTAGTTCTCTTTTCATAAATTTGTGATAATTCAACTCTAGTACTTTTAATTTAACTAGTATTGGTAGTATAGCATTCAGGTTGTTGTTCTTTTTTTTCTCAGTATCTCTAGTCACATTGAAATAGAAAAAAATGCCTCATGAAATTCATTGAGTTTTATAAAACGATACCTATTTTGTTCTAGGGAATTCAGGTCCAAAAAAGCTGACCCCATGAAATCATCTTGAAGTCCAAAATCATAATCAAAAACCTAAGATGAACAAACAACACTTATTAATAAAAACAATTTCTTAAATTAAACAAGCCAATGTTAACACAAATAGATACATGAGGCATGCAATTACTAGATGATACTGCAAATTAATTGGTCTCAAGATTTATGAATTCATTTTTATAAAATACACCTTTAAAGTTCAATTTTACTATTTCTTTTTCTTTCTCTGGCATAATTTCCCAAACATTAATCAAAGTTATGAAGACTTTATTTCATTGTATACTGGAATATTTTGATGACTGTTGCAATTTTAATAAGGATGTTGTATTGTGTCTTTTAACAATATTTTTGTAACAAGACTAAGCTAAGAGATCAGTAAGATATACCATTATTGCTATTTTTAAGAACTGGATGCGGCTTACCTTTATATATAATTGTTCCCTTAAGTGTTCAATAAGAATGGAAGTTCTTTCCTCCCATACAGGATTAAGATTCTTACTGATTGTTTTACTTCTAAAGATTTCTTTTCCGCCAAGTTTAAATTTGACATATGGATCACTTGTTCCTGAAGCAAAAGTTAAGGTCATATATAAAAACTAGGTATTCTTGGGAGCTCATAAAAACAAGAATAAGCAGCTAGTTTTCTCTTTTTAGATGACTTGAGTAACAAACATTTTTAAAAGATTAAGATAAGAATGAGATTGGATCAATTCTATACATTTATTTTCTTTGAAATTCAATATATTATTTATTTATTATTTATTTTCCTTGCTTTTTTATATAATAGGTACTCTATATGGTGGATATCATGAAACTTCATCAGTGCTTTTGTATAGTTTCTTTAAAATTAGCACTTAAAAATACTCCTGAAAAAGAGAATAAACTCATAATTAATTCTTAAAGCAAAACATGTAATTCCCAGAATAAAATATCTTCTGTTTTATATTAAATAATTGTTCCTGGTTGTAAAGTGTTTATTTCTACTTTACTTTACAGTAAGCACTGCATGCATATTGCACATTACTGTGAATAAAAGCAACATGGAATGCATTTTAGTTATTAAAAATCATTGCATAAATACAATTTATATTTTTGTAATATTTCATCAGGCAATAACAAGGCAAAATTTTCTTCCAGTGTATAATCAGGTTAAGTAAAAACAAAGTAAAATTCAGATTAATGCTCTATTTTGATAAATATTGGAAATATCCTTTATTAATCTCTTTCTCAATAATTAAAAGATTCTAAACTTTTCACAACAGAAACAAACAAAATATTTGAGGTCAATAAAGCAATACAAAAAACAAGAAGCAGTAGTTTAATATCTGAATTTGTTCTACATTGTTCTAAACCTTTGTGTTTATACACCATCTATCAAATTATCCCCCCTCTCTGAATAATATGAAACGTATCTCCACATACTCTTTAGTATATTCAATCTAGATTCAGAATTTAAATAGCCAATTATAACATTAAATTCTGCAATAAAATGTGAGCAAAAAGTGTATAGACATATATTTGCATGCATTATTTAGAAGGTAAATGAAATTAAGAAACAAAATTTTACTGATGTGATTTAATCAATATTTACCATTAAAAGTATCATGCCATGTAAATATAAAGTTGAGTAAGTTGCCCATAACAAATATAACCTGTGTTTAACATATTTCATTCATTTCCATTTTAATTCAAAATGCAAACATGCCAAGTCAGCTGTCTGAGTAAACAATATTTCAAGCAGACTTCTAATATTAACTGAAATATTTAAGGCTTTTTTATCCTATATTCTAATATGGCAATTGTTACTTTATTTAAAAATATTTTAAAGTATTTTTTAGTCTCACTATTAAAAAAATCCCTGAAAGCAACTGTAACAGCAACAGTCCTTGCTGAGCACATGGTGGCAGTATGACAGCAAAATTCTTTCTTTTGATGCTCAGTTACAAACCTACACAAATCATGGGCTCATAAAACAGCAATCCTGTAGTCAATCCTGTTAACAGCTGTCCATAGATCATAGATTAAACACATTAGCAAGAATTATTCAGGATAAGATGAAATATACCATGATTGATATATTTACAAATTGCTGGAAGAATAGCATTTTATCTTAAGAATGAAGGAGGAATGTTAATCAGGGTGACAGAAAGCCTTGTGCAAATCCAGGAGAATGGATTAGGTTGCAACCAGGTAATCCTCGATTTAACACCACAGTATTATTTACAGCAATATTATTTATTGTATGTGTCATGTGTCAAATCACACGATACAATGAATAAGATAAATAATGGGGATAATTCTTGTTCTATAAGAAGCAATAAACAGCTTCTTATAGAACAAGAATTATGAAGCAATAAACAGCACTAGCTCCTTTTTTCCAGCTTTTCCTATACCATTCTTACACTTCCTCTGATGGCATACATTTACTGAACCTTTTCTGCAATACATAGGAATCCACATAAGTTCTGCAACCTTACTTATCAATTTCCATGAAACACACACAAAAAAATTAACAGGTCCATTATTTTGAGAAACTATTTAGACTACATCATTTCTGTTCAAGATATAATTATATGACCACTATCTTGCTGAATTGTTGAAATAAATTTTATATAAAGTTAAGTTTGCACAAGAAATCTACCCTTTTTACAGAGTTAAAATATTCACTAGTTTGTAAACTTACTTTCTAGTCTATGTTTTAAAATGGTCTTTATAGCATTTTGTTGTAGAGTTCATTTTTCAAGAGAAATATGCTATTGATTATTAATCTTACCTAATGAATAACATTGCCATAATGTTCTCAATTTCTTCTATTACTAATTCTAAATTTTTATATACAGTACTCATGGAATAGTTTATGATTCTCAGAACTATTGTTCTGACAATGTTCCTGGGCAAAATTTTAGATTCTTCATAATGATATGATCCTCTCTGACAACCAATTCACTAGACTGTACATTAAAACAGCAAATGTTATTCACTAGAATTGGGTGAATTAGAGTGCTGATTCATAATTTATCACATAATGTGCAGAATAATCTTGCTGGGATGACTTATTTATTATAATATATATAATATGACTTTTCATTTGTATAATCTTTGATCCAATGACATTGAGAAACTTCAAAAGAACGCAAAAATGCTAATTATGAGTCTTGATAAATTTTACACTCCATGTTCCAGTTTTTCCCCATGTAGTGAATTTTTGATTGTACCTTTATGAAGTCACAATTATCCCTCTTTTTTATCAATTTTATTAAATATATTATGTAAGTAAAATGAACACACCTACAGAATTAAAAAAACAGTTTTATAAAAGGAAAAATAAAAAAGTACAGAAAAAGAAAATAGAAAAAGAAATTTTCATCTTCATCTGCAGCATCTTTCTTGTATTCTATAAAATGTTGTACACAAAGTGATCACTCAGTAACTAAAGTGAATTAAATACAATTTTCAGTCGGTCAGTCAATAAACAGAACACATGAATAGTCAATCTCATAATTCAGCTGAAAGGAGTCAAGTATTAAAACAGTCATGCAAAAGTACCGTATTTTCACCCATATAACCCGCGGGTTATATG